CTTCAGTGAGAAAATAAAAGAAATGTTTAACATTTGTTTCAGTGAGATGGAAAAATTCTTCAATTTCAAATCTTTACATTTGTACCCCTTTACTTCTTAAAATAGCGACCTGAATTCATATTTATGGTTGTTATTGAAAAAAATTGTTGTTATGTTTAAATTTTTAACGATGCGATAGCGAAATTTCTGCAGATATTTTATTGTCGTAGAACTCGTCATGTGGTTATTCAATCATCAACTGAAGAGTTGGGATTCATCAGGATATTAAAATAGAAAAACAATGAAATTCTCATGGATTAAAGCTAGTTTAAAGTTTTATATATTGTTGGAACCTAGCGAAGGTTACTGAATGCAATAATCAAACTCAGGTTGGTAACTGCTAGAAGTGAGTCAAGTGAATTCCACACTGAATCTCCAAATGCAGACTAACATACAGTATTTACTACTGCATTTATATACATACCCATTATCGTTTGTAGGTATGCTACAGAACACACACACACACACACATATATATATATATATATATATATATATATATATATATATATATACTCGACTCTCCCGTCGAATTCGACGTATGAGGGCCAAGCAGATCAGCTCCTAGGAAACCGACAGCCCGATAACAGCACATGAGATTTGATTATAGTGGTGAAGGTTTCGTGCAGGACCATCCACACTTTTTGAAGGGTCGAATACAGAGGGTTCAATATATATTATATATATATATATATATATATATATATATATATATATATATATAGTGGTGTTCGTCCTGTACAAGGCCCTGGGGCCACACGAGGTAGAGGGTTACAGAGTAAGAGGTATAACTTATGCAGATATGTGCGGAAGATAACGGTTAACCTTAGACTTGAACAAGGTAAGATTGTATTGATCGAAGTAGCGGCCGCTTAGGAGTCGGTTCCACAAGGCAGTGGTTTCGTGGGAAGAAGCTGCTTAGGTAGAACTTGCATCTCATTAGGGGTATACGAAGGGAATGCGGTTGGTTTGCTTCAATATGCATGGCCTGGCGGGACTTAGCCGTGAAAGTTAGGACTAATGGCACTAAGGAGTGTAGTCCATCTGAACACTCTTCATGGAAATAGTGACAGTGTAGTGAGAGGCTTGCGACGTCAGGACTGTGGGCGCTTGTAGAGTGGAAAATAATTTGGAGCCTACAAGAACGCGAAAATGCTTTTGGACAATATCGATAGTTGAAAGTGAAGACTGGGTAACTGCCGCCATATATGACAACAGTACTCCATTTTTGGCCTGATCTGGCTCTTGCGAACGTAGATAATTGCACAAGCAGTCAAGGGAAATTGGGGAAATTCTTAGTCCGATCGATGCTACTGGAATGTTACTAGTTTGGTCTTAGAAACTTTGAATGGGACCAGGTAACTTTCCCCAACTGAGCTGCTAGATGGTCACCGACGTTTTGGAGAGCGCACCCACACACACACACACACATATATATATATATATATATATATATATATATATATAGATAGATAGATAGATAGATATAACGAAACAGAATTATACGTTATATATATATATATATATATATATATATATATATATATATATATATATATATATATATGTATGTATGTATGTATGTATGTGTGTGTGGGGGTCTGTGTGTGCATTTTGTGAGAGTAATAATTTGATATTCTTGTCGGTTGTTTAATTTAGCGCTTCGTTAGTGCTTTTTTGTGAATATCTATTTGCTTACACCTTTCTCTCTTTTAATTTAGCTATACCTCCTTTAAGCTATCTCTGTTGATCTTCTTCCCCTGCTATTTTTAACTTAGCGCTCTTCCACTGCCTGTCATGGCGCCACTTCTCAGGTTGCTTTTACTGTGTAAGCAAATGACTGCTTTTACCACATCCTGAAATGACTTTCAAGGACGCCTCTATTTTTGAGAACGAAAGAGGTGTGAAATATTTCTTTGGTCTGACTTCAGGTTTCATTTTTGCCATCTTCTTCTTCTTCTTCTTCTTCTTCTTCTTCTTCTTCTTCTTCTTCTTTATACCATGTCCCTTAACGATATGGGAAATGATGGCTTTCCACAATTTCCTGCCCTTTTGTAGCTCTTAGTATGTTTTATTTTTGGCTATTTTTCTTAATTTCTGTTATGCCAACTAGTATTGCCTAAATAATCTATAGAATAAAAAGACATATCCATGTTAACATTCCACATCACTTCAAATAAAAGTATAGCAAGGAAACTCCCATCAGTACTGAAAAAAGAGATAACACCTACTGGACCCGAGAAACCTGTTTCCCTAAGAAATTGTTCTAAAAGAAAGATTTTCTAAATTTCAATTTAAAGCAATAATGGCTACTTGGTCAATGTATACCAAACATTTCCTTGTTGGTAAACGTTTTATATTACCGTTTAAGTGGACCCACGTTTTGGCGTAGAAATTTTCAAGTTCGATTTATAGTCAATCTTTAATTCAGATTATGCATGGTTGTTAGCAAAAGCGTCAGCCCAAAATGCAAATTACAAATTGGGGATACCACAATGCAAACAAGAACAAAAATGTAAATATCTGCAAAGTGTTTTAACAGAGAATGAAAAAGGCAACATTCAAATCCGAACTAGAATTGGGATAGTCAAATATGCATTCCAAAAGCTAAGCAGAGTATTAAGAAACACAAAAGAATTCGTTAGAAACAAAGCATACTAAAATATTATGGGATATCTCTCTTCCTATATGGCACTGAATGCCGGGCAATCTTCTCATAGATAAAGAAGAGACTTGAAGCAACAGAAATGTGGTTCTACAGAAGGATGCTGAGAATACCACGGACCGAACCTGTGAGCTACGATGAAGTTTTAAAGAAAAAGGAAAATGGAACATACTTATATCAGAAAGACACAGTTGAGATTTCTAGGGCACGTAATGAGGAAAGAAAGCTTGGAAAATCTGATACTCACAGGACTGACTAAGGGCAGAAAGGACAGAGGAAAACAATGAATAACATATTTAGAGAGCTTGGGTAAATGGATGGCGGGACAAGGATTAGGAGAAAATACAAAATTTCTAAAGAGCTAAGAAAGACATGAAGATATGGAGAGCCATGATCGCCTACGTTCTGAAAGGAACACGGCACGTAAAGATTACGTATGGAGCACAATTTAAATGCTGGCTTTTCAGAGTAGTAGATTGGCGTTACACAGTCTTCTTATATATTATTAGTAGACTTTTATATGAATGTTATGAATTGCATCCAGCTCATTTAAAATGTCTGTGCTATCAAGTATAAACGTTTTCTTTGAGGAATGGATAAAAATCGTTTTGAACAAATAAACACTATCAATTTTAAAGGCGATCCTTCACCAGATCCTATAAATTTGGGGCTACTAAATAACAAATAAATAGGTTAACCTTTACACCCAACTCCAATTAGATATAGTGGCCTGATAGTACAGAAGCACCTCTACATACCGAGGATGAATGGATGTCCACTCGGGAAAGAACTGTAACTTGTGCGTCTATTTAGCCTTAAGCACACATCAAACCTCAAGTGGAACTCGTACAGACAATCCATTGCTAAGGATGCAGGAAAAATGGTCGGTTCTTTGTACCAGTCCAGTAAGTACCTGACTCCATGTGATATCCTCTACCTTTACAAGAGCCAGATCAGGTCTACTGTAGTCATATCTGAGCAGGGGCTACTTTGCAGTCCTCACTTTGCAGTCTCGATAAGTCCAAAAGCCTCTCCGCGTCCTTATGGGTGACAAACTATTTTCCACACAGCAACCTCTCCCTCACAGGATATACGGCATACTTCTCACTGACCTATCGCTACTTCCATGGAAAATGCTCGGACGAACTTCATTTCTTGTGTCCACCCGTTAAAACCTTCACGGCTAGGACCTGCCATGCTACTATCATTGTAGCAAACCACCCTCATTCACTCCGTATTCCATTGGTGAGAAGTAAGTTCCATACGAGCAGCTTCTTCCCGGGAACCGCTGTTCTGTGGAACTGACACCTAAGATCTTTCCCTGATCACTACAATCTTATCCTGTTCAAGTCTTGGATTAACCGTTATCTTCTCCGCATAAAATGTGCTTCTTAATCTGTAATCCTCTACCTCGAGTGGCTTCTGAGCCTTGTACAGGATGAACCTCAGTATATAAAAAAAAAATGTCCTGTTAGTATAAAGAACTAGATTGTATTCATCGCTGGATTGGCAGGATTGTCACGTAGCTTACAGCACCCGGCATTCAGAAGCGGTTCTTCATTCGTGTACTGTGCAGGCTAAACGTTTCCTTATTACGGTGATCGAACGAGAAGCGGTGTTTCAACCTGTTATGGCCGAAACAGCGAGCTTTGCTAATTAGGGGGAAAAAATTACGTCTTCCAACAGTAACAACAAAAAGGGAAGTCCATATAATTAGAATAAAAAAAAAATAATGATAAAATCAAATATATATTTCCACACCACCAAAGACAAAATGTTTGTAAGAAAACTCTAATCAGTCCTAGAGAGAGCTATAACATTTAGTGGACCTGAGAAGACGCATTACACGAAAAACTGTTTGAAGAAAAATAATTATAAACTCAACCTACAGTAGTATGAACTGTTCTTTCAACGGCTTTACTCTTTTGCGACGTCTCAGGAATCTTATAAAATATATGTATTGTGTAAGTTAAAATACTCAAAATGCAGCATAAATATATATCTTGCTATTCTATACATATTAATAAAATAGTTGACAGTTTGTGCATTTATCTATCTATCCATAGCAGTCGGAGCACCATTTAGATAGATAGATCGATAGATGGTAAATCATTCATTTGATATCATGAATATATATATATATATATATATATATATATATATATATATATATATATATATATATATATATCATTAATTCGTATATATTTATGCTCAGTTGAATGTTATGCACTAGGTGGTATAAATTGCTATTGTCTAAACTATTTCTTTTCATCATATACGCATTTAGCTATACATATTGCAGATAGATAGATAGATAGATGTGTTTGGTAAATCATTCGTTTGATATCATGAATAATTATATATATATATATATATATATATGTATGTATATCATTAATTTGTATATATTTATGCTCAGTTGAATGTTATGCACTAGGTGGTATAAATTGATATTGTCTAAACTATTTCTTTTCATCATATACGCATTTAGTTATACACACTGCATATAGATAAATAGATAGATAGATAGATAGATAGATAGATAGATAGATATCAAAGATAAACCTATCTTGTATATTAATTTATTTTATTCAAAACATCCATACACATGTACATGTGTATACGCATTAAATTGTGCCTTTTATCTATTATATGAAATTACGTTCACTGTTATATATATATATATATATATATATATATATATATATATATATATATATAATTTACAAAATACCCCTATCGTCTTTCTCTCTATATTTCTTTCTCTGTCTCTTTCTTTTTCCCTCTCACTTTAAGACATCCTTAGAATTATTTGTGACACCGTTTCAGGTTACATACATCACACGCAAACTCCAAAGATTCTCTCGTCCATAATAAATAATATACTTAAGCAAGTATTTAAAAAAATAATAATGCACTCACATAAGTAAAGAAATGACACGACGATTCGTTAATCAAAAGAAAACATTAATAACTTCATTCAAAATCTCTCTCTCTCTCTCTCTCTCCCTCTCTCTCCCCCTCTCTCTCTCCCCCTCTCTCTCTCTCCCTATCTCCTCTCCCCCTCTCTCTCCCTCTCTCTCAAAATGTTCTCTCATTAAAAGAAATTTCTCTCTCTCTCTCGCTCAAGAAATTTCTCTGAATTGTCGTTAGAAAATGACATTTTATTTTAAGGTTGTTGGTGGTGAGTGGGACACTTTCATAAGACTTTCTCTCCACATGTCCGTTCTAGACAAGAAGTCCCATTCAATTCGAAATTGACTTTAATTTGTCGTTAGCGAACCTCACCAAATTGACATTTTTAATGGGACTGACGTCGGTTTGGCTTACGAGTCATTTTTTTTTTTTTAAACAACGTGTAGATTTTAAAATTCCCTAACCAAATAAAAAGGGCTTTTTTAATCTATCTAACAGCTAACATTTATTACCAAAATATTTACTCTAAAAATGTTCGGACATGTAAACATATTCGTCATTTCAGACAGAGTTGGAGAGCATTTTAAAGTCATCTGATTCGAAAGACGTTATGATACTGAACAGCTTTGAAAATTAAAACGAAAATAAAGATCGGTTTTACTTTAGAAATAAATGCTGGTATTTTTTTTAAGGAATGGGTTCTGGACAGTTTCTCGGTCTCACAATAACAGAAAAATTTCAAAGGGAAAGATATATCCAGAATCAAGCGAAAGTATTCGACTACTAAACTATTGCAAATTTCTAATAATAGTCAGCAAATATTCAAACATAGAGAAGTCACGCAAAATGAGTTGAGAATGTATCAAGCTAGAGTTCTTATCATTGAGAACACACCGACGTCGTTGAGGAACAGTTAAGATTATTTCTAGGATTGTTTTGAAAAAGAGTTGTCTTCTTCTGAACTGTTGCGAAAAAGGCTCAAAGATAACCCAGTAAATCTGGAGAAGATATCTAACATTATAGAGAAAAATAGAATCAGAAAAGGAGAAAAGATGGATTGAGAATGTATCAAGCTAGAATCAGAGAAAATATTTTTAGAATCTTTGAGAAAAATGAACTCTGTGAAAATGGAGTTCAAAAAAAATATTTCAAAGATGGCAGATATCGAGAATCAATGTATCAAGTATCAAATCAGAAAAATATTTCAAAACATACTGGACATATTCTGAAAAAATATTAAAGATGGCGGAAAGAGAGCGAGATGTCGAGATGTCAAATAGAATCAGAGAAAATATATTTCTTGAATGAATATTAGAATCAGAGAAATAAAGATTTCATTATAGAGAAAAGGCGAGATTTTTTCAGTTTAAAAAACATAGTATTTGAAAAGGTTAAGATGAGTGGGAAAAGAATCGAGAATCCACTATTAGGGTGAAATCCAAAAATTTTCAAAGATGGCCATTCTAGATCCTTTCGACAAAATAGTAACTAGGCTTGGAAATCACTACAGAAATGGACAAAGATACGGAGAAAGAGCGACGACAAAAATATTCAAGATAGAAATGAGGAAATCAATTATAAGAAATCAGAAAAATATTTCAAAGATGGCGGAGAAAATCATTTAGAATCAGAGAAAAAGATTTCAAAAGACAGCGAGATGTTGAGAATGTATCAAGATAAATCAGAGAAAATATTTCAAAGATGGTGAAAAGAGAGCGAGATGTTGAGAATGTATCAAGCTAGAATCAGAAAAATATTTCAAAGATGGCGGAAATTGAGAGAAAATCAAGCTAGAAAAGAAAAATATTTCAGAGAATCGGAAGAGAGAAGTCGAGAATGTAGAAAAGAATCAGAAAAATATTTCAAACATGGCAAAGAGAGGAAGATGTTGAAAATGTATCAAGCTAGAATCGAGAAAAATATTTCAAAGATTAAGAAGAGATGTTGAGAATGTATCAAGAGAATCAAAAAATATTTCAAAGATGGCGGAAGAGAGAGAAAGTTGAGAATGTATCAAGCTAGAATCAGAGAAAAATATTTCAAAGATGACGGAAGAGAGGCGAGATGTTGAGAATGTATCAAGCTAGAATCAGAGAAAATATTTCAAAGATGGCGGAAGAAGAGCGAGATGTATGAGAATGTATCAAGCTAGAATCAGAGAAAATAGATTTCAAAGATGGTGGGTTGAGGCGAGAAGTTGGGAAAGTATCAAGCTAGATACAGAGAAATAGATTTCAAAGATGACGAGAAGAAGGCGAGAAGATTTGAGAATGTATCGAGAAACTAGAATCAGAGAAAAAGATTTCAAAGATGGAAGAAGGAGATGTTGAGAATGTATCAAGCTAAATTGAAAAATATTTCAAAAGATCGGAAGAGAGCGAGATGTTGAGAATGTAGAAAAGCTAGAATCAGAAAAAAATATTTCAAAGATGGCGGAAGAGAGCGAGATGTTGAGAATGTATCAAGCTAGAATCAGAGAAAAATATTTCAAAGATGACGGAAGAGAGAGATGTCGAGAATGTATCAAGCTAGAATCAGAGAAAATATTTCAAAAAAGATGGCAAAAGAGAGCGAGATGTTGAGAATGTATCAAGCTAGAATCAGAAAAAAATATTTCAAAGATGGCGGAAGAGAGCGAGATGTCGAGAATGTATCAAGCTAGAATCAGAGAAAATATTTCAAAGATGGCGGAAGAGAGAGATGTCGAGAATGTATTGCTAGAATCAGAGAATGTATTTCAAAAGATGGCGGAAGAGAAGATGTTGAGAAATCAAGCTAGAATCAGAAAAAATATTTCAAAGATGGCGGAAAGAGAGCGAGATGTTGAGAATGTATCAAGCTAGAATCAGAGAAAAAATATTTCAAAGATGGCGGAAGAGAGCGAGATGTTGAGAATGAGATAGAATCAGAGAAAATATCAAAGAGAGCGAGATGTTGAGAATGTATCAAGCTAGAGAAAAATATTTCAAAGATGACGGAAGAGAGCGAGATGTCGAGAATGTATCAAGCTAGAATCAGAGAAAAATATTTCAAACATGGCAAAAGAGAGCGAGATGTTGAGAATGTATCAAGCTAGAATCAGAGAAAATATTTCAAAGATGGCGGAAAGAGGCGAGATGTTGAGAATATCAAGCTAGAATCAGAGAAAATATTTCAAAGATGGCGGAAGAGAGCGAGATGTTGAGAATGTATCAAGCTAGAATCAGAGAAAAATATTTCAAAAGATGACGGAAGAGAGCGAGATGTTGAGAATGTATCAAGCTAGAATCAGAGAAAAATTTCAATGGCAAAGATGGAGGAAGAGAGCGAGATGTTGAGAATGTATCAAGCTAGAATCAGAAAAATATTTCAAAGATGGCGGAAGAGAGCGAGATGTTGAGAATGTATCAAGCTAGAATCAGAGAAAAATATTTCAAAGATGGCGGAAGAGAGCGAGATGTCGAGAATGTATCAAGCTAGAATCAGAGAAAAATATTTCAAAGATGGCGGAAGAGAGCGAGATGTTGAGAATGTATCAAGCTAGAATCAGAGAAAAATATTTCAAAGATGGCGGAAGAGAGCGAGATGTTGAGAATGTATCAAGCTAGAATCAGAGAAAAATATTTCAAAGATGGCGGAAAGAGCGAGATGTTGAGAATGTATCAAGCTAGAATCAGAGAAAAATATTTCAAAGATGGCGGAAGAGAGCGAGATGTTGAGAATGTATCAAAGCTAGAATCAGAGAAAAATATTTCAAAGATGGCGGAAGAGAAAGCGAGATGTTGAGAATGTATCAAGCTAGAATCAGAGAAAATATTTCAAAACATGGCAAAGAGAGCGAGAGAAAATATTTCAAAAGATGGCGGAAGAGAGAGATGTTGAGAATGTATCAAGCTAGAATCAGAGAAAAATATTTCAAAGATGGCGGAAAGAGCGAGATGTCGAGAATGTATCAAGCTAGAATCAGAGAAAAATATTTCAAAAGATGGCGGAAGAGAGAGATGTTGAGAATGTATCAAGCTAGAATCAGAGAAAAATATTTCAAAGATGGCGGAAGAGAGCGAGATGTGACAAAAAGAGAGAATGTATCAAGCTAGAATCAGAGAAAAATATTTCAAAGATGGCGGAAGAGAGCGAGATGTTGAGAATGTATCAAGCTAGAATCAGAGAAAAATATTTCAAAGATGGCGGAAGAGAGCGAGATGTTGAGAATGTATCAAGCTAGAATCAGAGAAAATATTTCAAAAGATGGCGGAAGAGAGCGAGATGTTGAGAATGTATCAAGCTAGAATCAGAGAAAAATATTTCAAAGATGGCGGAAGAGAGCGAGATGTTGAGAATGAATCAGAGAAAAATATTTAGAATCAGAGAAAAATATTTCAAAAGAGAAACGGAAGAGAGCGAGATGTTGAGAATGTATCAAGCTAGAATCAGAGAAAAA